GTAAACCAAAAAATTTGGAACGGGGGAAATTAGTAGAGAAACTGTTATCAATGCAAGCTCCTTTATTTTATTTAATATACCTTCCTGATCTTTTCTGGGTTCAGAGCTACCTTCCAGTTCGTCAGTCACCATTAGTCCAGCTCCTGGTTGTTGGGTGTTTAAAAAAGTCAGTTAGCCAATAAAAACCTGCGCCAAGCTCCGAACGAGCATCTGGCTGTGGTTGTTTGGCTGTGTCTGTGAGTAATGCCAAGCTGCAGGAAAGCCAAGCAGTATTCAGACATCAGTTTTTGGAAATGGGATTTGTTGTGTTATTTATCTTCTGTATTAACGGAGAGGGCCTGGCTTTTGTTTTTTAACCTTGTTGTTTCAATGCCAGAAGAGTAGAAATATAACCCAAGTTAAAACAATAGCTCTTAAAAGATGTAATATTTTCTTTCATCCCCTGTTTAGTAAGCAGCCTTGGCAGTGTCATTTCATTTAAAGAACTGCAAAGTCACAAGGTCCAGAAATACAGTAATTCCAGGAATGACAAAGAAAAAATGACCTGCTTTGTCTTTTTATTGACTATAACTGTGGTGAAAAAGGCCATTCTGCATCCTCAGCCATAACTAGTTAATTACTTTCTGTTGTTTTTTGTAGATGTTTCTAACCAACATTAAGTAAAATGTACATTGTGGAACAAACCATCCATACAGTATATGCCATAATTACTGTTTAGCAATTTCACACTAGCAAAAATTTATTAAAACTTCACGACTCATTAATAGTAAGTGATCATAATCGCTTAATAGAAAAGGAAACTCAGCTAATGATAGAAGTGCTGATTAATGTTTTTGACCTTAAGACAGGAAGTCAAGTGAAATTAATGTCATTGGGTGTTGAAAGTTAAGCTATTGTCAAGTGTAGATAGCCTCTAATCAAAAGAGAAATCCCACAGCTTCACAAATTTTTTCATGAGAAAACTATTGCTTTTCTATACTCCGTGGCTTTTTAAAAAATCTCCCTGTCACATTTCAAGTAACAAGATTGACCCATTTATTACAAAAGTCAGTTAAAAAAGGAAGATATATATATATATATATATATATAGTCATTTCAGGAGGCGATCTTACAGAAATACTTAACATGCTGGCCACACTTAACCAAGCAGCATTATATGTAGCTATTTATTTTTGGTAAACAGCATTCCTTTTATGAGCTCAGTTTAAACATTTTTGAAGAGAATAACAGCCCAGCTGACCAGTCAGTTGCCTCATCACACATCAGATGCCTGGGCAGCACTGGAGTTGACAGGACCACTGTCCTTGCAGCCAGCTGTGTGCCTGGAAAGCATCAGCCTCAGCTTTGCATCTGCCTGCTTCTGATGCCCACTGGGGCTCCTGCAAGTGGTGGCATTTGGGCTGCAGCAGGCACTGGACTGCACCAGGAGGTCTTGTGGCCAACCTCAGGCCAGATTAATGTGGCAGCAGCACATCTGTGCAAGGGTCCCAATCCCTGAGGTAACTCAGGTACTGGGTCATAAATGGAGATGACTTCTACTTCAGCTGTAAATATTTCTTATGTGTGCTCTTTTTTAATTTCTTTGAAATCAGACATTACTTGAAAGCAGAATCTCCAGGACATACTTGTTCTGGAGCCACAGCTCAGTGTGTACCATTTCAAGATGAAGGGTATGGAGCCTAATCCAGTCTCACTGAAAAGGTCAAATGGAGATGCCAGAGCCTTTCACCTGAGAAGGCAAACTGCTTTGTAGATGTTAACTCAGGTTGTGAGCACTGTAAAACTCAGTTTGAATAACCTTCTCCAGATTATTCAACAGCTCCCATGACGGGCAGAGAGGGAGGGACAGTTTCTTCCAAGTATGAGCAGAAATCTGGCTATGTGTTAGTGAGCTTTATGTTCATTTGACATCAGTCAAAGTCACAGAGGGAAGGACAATCCCTTTCTAATAATGTCACTCAATATTTAGCCTACATGCATTTGTATTAATAATAAAGCCCTCAGGCAGTGAGTTATGTACAGCCATTGATCTGCTCAAAACAGCACTGAAGTATTGACAAATACTGTTTTGGAGACAAATAAAAGCTAAATTGTATTTATATCCACCAGATTCTGACCTCTGACAAACAAGCAAACGGAACTGCGCAGCCAGGTTAATGCTGCCTTTGAGCCTCTCAAACCAGAAAAAAGCCAGCAGTGGATTGGTAAATGCAGATTTATTTTTAGATTTTTGTTTTTATAATTTATATCTCTGTGTGTAGTTTGTGGGAGACTTTCCAACTGCTTCTCTTGGAGATTTTTGTGTTAACATCTCTTTTGAAAGCAGGAGCGATGTAGCACACTTGCAAACCTGGAGATAAATACCATCTGTTTAGTTAACCTCACTGAGAATATTGGTGGAATGTTGTTATTTTTTAAAAACATATATACAAGAGCAATTCAGAGACTTGAATTGCAGGTCCTTCCAAAGCAATTGACTACAAGACTTTATTTTATAATGCTACGAAAGATAAATGTATTTTTATTAAAGACTCTGTAAACTATACTTTCTACTTCAGAGCAAAAGATTTTCTAGCATCCTCTTTGGGAGAAAAAAAAAAGCCAACAACAACCAATCCAAAAAGCTTTCTGCACAATTACTATTGAGCAACATTTCCCAGTCCCTATTTTGGCTTTTTCCTCTCTGCTTCTCTGCTGTTTTCTGTAATTAATACAGATAAAAAATTTTGGCGGTGCAGAATTAGGGGGTGTAATTTGTATTCAGGGCCAAAAAAGACATGCATCTCACCAAAACAACTGAGTTTATTGTTACCAAAAATTGTTTCAGGAAATCATACTTCTGTCTCTCAGAACACAAACCAGAACTCAGCATGAAGCAGACAATAACAGAGACAGGGTTTTTTGCCAACACGCATGAGCAGTACAAGTGTCAGGGCAGGCTGATTGCTTGGGCAGAGTGTTTTGGAGAGCTCTAGGAGCAGGCCTGGAAAATGGTTAGGATCACCTTTCAAAAGCCCATTCCTGTGCAGTTTAGTACTCCGATTTGATGGCACACTGGAAATGCATCTCCAAGAAAACTCCAAGTGGGAAAGTGTCAAATTTGCCCACGCTAACCTGTCCATCTTTGTCCATGCCTGCTTTGAAAAAAGCCAAGCCATTCATCTGCTTACCAGGGTGTCATTTAAAATGTCTCTGCACAACCCAACCTATTTAACTGAAATTATTCTGTAAATGCCATGTGAAGTAGATAACCCCACTTATCCAGGCATCACTAGACCTTACCAAAGGTAAGGAAGTCAGCCAAAGTGTGCTGAGCACTGCTTTACACATGGCAGCCAGGTCAATGAAGAGAGAACTGTTTCTTCATGAGGATGCTGGTGTCCTCCATCATGACAAGAGATGGATGCTGTGAGGCATCATTCTTTATTAACTGCATAACCTCTACATGTGGAAGAAGGTTAATGTGATACAATGGCTCATGTTTGTGCACCTTGTAGGCAGTCCCTTGGTACCAACTTGCCCAGCCTTTGTCCAGGAAAAGTAGCCCTAACTGCAGTGATCTCTCAGCCCACAGGGAAATTGCCAAAGGCAGCCTACATGTGAGCAGTAACAATAAAAAGCAAAATCCCTGCCAACCCTAAATCAACAAAACACAACCTAAAAATCAAACCCACAGACGAGGCACACTGAAGAATCCATCTGGTCATGCCTAGTTGGCTGCTTAGTGATGTCAAACACAGCTTGGTTTCATCTGTCCCAGGAGAGGCTGCTCAGCACGTCTGTCATGGAGCTGCACCTCTTGAGTGGAGGCTTCACTGCTGTTCCTCCACCCTCATCCTCCTCTTTCACAGCACTGGAGCTGTGGCAGCGCAGAGAATGAGGGAAAAGCAGAAGGAAAGTCCAATGCTAACTCATACTGGCAAACATTTTGATTGATTTTGTGCACCACATTCTCCAAACACGTATTTGAAATGGTTAAACGTTTGGAAGATGGCACAGCAGAAGCTGAAGAACCTGGAGCACTTTATGCACAGGACATGATAGCAGCAGAATGACTCCTAAATCCAAGCAACCTCAATAGCTGGCCCAGGAACCCAAGCTGGGTGCTGGATACTGCCAAACAGAATGTGTTGCCTTCCCCTCCCACCTCCTGAAGCACAGATCATCTGGGTAGAAAACGATGCCAGGACAGCTAAACATCTCCTACTTGCATCACCCCTGCAACTCTAGACCCTCCTGGAACTGCCAAAACACTATGATGATTTAGCTGGAAAAGTGTTTTCAGCCCTAATAGAGCAGACCTTTAACCTTAGATTTTGTGCATCTCTACAGCTCCCATCTCTCCTTCTCGCACCCTGCCCCCAAACCTTGCTTTTCTCTCTGAGCAACAGCAACTGAAACTGGTCTGAAAATGGTGGGAGGCTCTGGCCCTTTGCTGAGCAGCAGCTTTTTCACGGGTGAGTGTGATTGCTCTTTGCTCATAATATATTCATTTGTTAAATCTCAGTTTGAATATGAGTAAATGCTGAAATCATTTCTCCTGGTTTCCAGTCACCAACAGGAGGAGAGGCATCCTGAAAGCTTGTTTATCCACCTTCCCTTTCCTCTCCCAGCACACTCTGCATTTCCAAAAATATCCTCCTGCAAGCGCTTTTGTCTTGAAAGCCTCTGCAGCTCTTCTGGCATTGTGTGAAAACAGGAGTGAGCCCTTTCTTTGTGGCCTGGCAGGATGAAGGGGTGGGATGGGTGTGGAGGCGTCTGTGCGTGCCAGAGAGTGAACAAGCATGAATAGGGCCAGCTGGCCACTCTCGTGCCCGTCTTTCCATCATTTCCATCTGATACTGCCTGCTCATTGTAATTTTGCAGGCCACTAACACAAAAAGACTAGGGAGCAAGCATATGAACAGATAGTTAAAGGGAAAATGCTTTATTTCATATTTTCTTAGATCATGGTAGACTGCAAAACAACAGGGAAAAATGAGATCAACCTTGTTGTTCTTTTTTTTTTTTTTTAATACTAAATCGGAACGGAAGAAAAACAACCAGGAAATTGTTCTCACAAAAACATGCTTTTTAATAAAAAAAGAGAATAATGTTTATTGAGAGGGATTGTTTTGTGGATATGTACAATACCGATGCAGGAGGATTATGCTAACAGAAAATGCCAAACATCGTGGATTGACTTCCAAAGTGTGGACAGTCCTCAGAGCAATGTCCTCAGAGCAAGTAAGTCAACAGGAACAAGTGAACATTGGTTTTGGGGGTTTTTTTTACAACAAATTACCAGCCATTATGACTGAAGACCTGACATGTAATAACCTGCAGTGAGATGTACAGAAATCCGTGAGACGACACAGAATTCACACAGGAAGGTAACTGTTTGTGTAAGAATTTCCTCCAGAAAATGGAAGTGTGTTCCAGACAGTTTTGGGAAAAGACAAATAGAAAAAAAATAGGTGAAAAAAAGTGCAGGAAAGTACTAACACTGGATATCCTCAGATCACAGTGAATGCCAGTCTTCCTGGGTCTGATTGCTAACTGTTACCTTTATCTTCACCACTTCTGCTTACCCTCAATTAATTGATTTATCATCATGATGTAAGAAAAATTACGTTTATGTGAGCCTTCTCCTGCTATTTCCTTTTTGCTGCAGCTCTTGTCAACTTGTAGTTTACACAAGAAGTGAAAAATTCTACATGCCCTCAGGTGATAGACACATGCACCTTCCCAGCCTGAGCAGTACTCATCACAGCTGATCATTTCAGTACTAGGTAATGCTGCACAAATCACACAAACCATGTCAAAGCAAACACTAATTCTGGAGGAGGGGGAGAATATGGAGATTAGTAACTGACACCAGTTAAGTTTCCCACATGTTGGAGTGCTTTGAAGCAGTTTCTCCCACTGACTGCATTCGGGATTTATTTTTTGCTCTTACCCAGAAACAATGTAGGGTACTGGGAAGAGGTAAGAGGTTGATTTTATGCATCACTTCCCAGAAAAGCAGCAATATAAAAATCAAGACCACATTTTTCTTTCAATTTTTACCTCCACTTAGCTTTCTTTTTAAGCAATGTGTGACTCAGCTCAGTCTGGGCTGTGCACCCCCCGACTGCCAGGTACAATCCCCTGTGAGGCTTTGCTCTAATAACCCTTACAAACATTTCTTCTGTCTCACCTTTCACTTAAAGGTTAAAGCCTTTGTCTCACCCCAAAGCAGGCAGAGGATGTCACTGCTAATAACCTGGTCTGGGGATGTGAGAGGGAGATCCTGTGCTCCCAGCATTCAGGTTAGCATACTCCCAAAAGAACTGCTTCACTTCTCAGAAGGGAGAACAGTTTCCATGGGCTAATCCACAAAGTCAAAGAAAAAAACCCATGATTTCTCCATTTTATCCTCAGTGGGACACACATTTCTCTCTCAGCAGTGTGCTTTCTGCAGTATCTCCCGCTAAAATAAATGGTGGTTCCCTAAACAGTCATTTCTGCATCTTCAGGCTTTCTCCTGTTTCCCTAGCTTCCTTCTGTCACATATATCCTGTTCCATAAACATAACCATGAGAGGACCATATAGTTTTAACCTTATTTTGAAAATTACTCCAGAGTTTCAGCTGATTTGCTGGCTTCTGTGCTTGAAGGAGTTTACATCTCCCTGTGGTTCACTACATCTGTGGGGTTTAGCTTTTGTAGCATTTAAGCTTTGACCTCAGGACAAGTGCAGTGGCCAAAGCCAACTCCATACTCAGCTGAAGAGCTGCAGCTAGCGAGACTGCCACGACTTATTTGTCAGCATGTAGCTCTGACAGCTTTGTTAGTGTGGGATAAGCTTCACCCCAGCTGGACAGGCCCGAGTGATGGAGCAGACACAAAGGCTTCGGAGTACAGAGGTTTGTAAGTTAAATATTTTGGTATTCTGGAAGGAGGAATTTGAAGAAAACTGTCCTTAAATCTACTCCTTTTCTTCTGGATTCTAGGAAGTTGTCCTTTAGACAAATTAAAAACCAGTGGAAAAGAATTATAATGTTGGAATCATTACAAGCAGGTGAAAAGGGGCTAAGATTTGGGTGTTTTAATCCAGGCAACAATTAGCTCTAATTCTATGCATGTCAACTCACTCAGCTACTGGCACCTGAGTAAGATAAAACAACAGAAACCTAATTCTGGTTAAATGTGTTCAGAGAACTCTTGTGAATAGTCTACACAGTAGTAGTTTAGTACCAATTTAGAAAATCACAGTCTGTATTGGTAAGAAATACTACTGAGAAATTTGTTGACTGTGCTCCTTTAAAATTCAGGTAATTTTTAAGCCACATCTTGAATTTTTTGCTCATGCTTTTACGAATTATAAAAACGAGATGGAACATCTTGTAGGAGTTGCAGGAATTGGCTTCTGACTATTGAGGTGCCCACATCTAATATGCATCTATAAACATTGCCTGGAGGGAAATAGAAGAGAACATGAAGCAAGGGTGTATGAAAGTTGAGATACTGAGTTAAAAATGGAAATTCACCATCCTCCCTGATTTTACCTTAAGAACAGAGCCATCAAAATTTCCCAAAGAGAATTCTTACTCTTGTAAGAATTTACTGCTTAGTGAGACTTTATCTATTTGACTGAAATTCCAACTGGAAAATACATTAGAAGTATTTAAATATTTCTAATAGCTTGGAAAGAGTTTGAAAGTTTTCAATCCTATTCAGTACCAAACTAAATTTTAAATTCCATCTGGGGAATAACAACATAATGTTTTAGATTATTCAAATCAAACCAGTGCTAAAGAGATAAAATGGGAACTTTCAATTTCCTCCCTGTTAAAGGTGTTCTTAGTTCACTGGAGACATATTCCTGATCACATCTTTTTTTTTTTCTTCTTCTTCTCAAAAGTGAAGGCTGTAATTAAAAAAGAAAACCAGAAAACCAGCACTGAAGCAAATCTATAAAGCTGAGTACTGTGGAGTCGGACAAAATGACCTTCTGAAGTTAAAGAGAAGCTGAAATAGCCAATAATTGAAATGTCACAAAAGGAACTGGCTGCTGAGAAAAAGCAAATATTTGAAGATGAGAAATATTTAACAAGTCACTGGATTAATTTCTCTGCCAAGTTCATCAGAACCAAATACATTTTTATTTGATGTCAGGGACATCAGGTACAATCTAACCTTATGGGCATAAAACAACCCCAGAGGCAGTTTTAATGCAGAACATGCAGAATGCAGAACAGTTTAAAGCAGAAAGAAAGAATGCCAGTGAACATATATTTTTCAGCGAGGTAGAGCCACCTTGGTATTGAAGACAAAGAATTGCATTTTATGAAAGAAAGTTATAATTGTATGAATAACTGCTTGTGCTTCTGTCTTTTACTGCTTGCTCTGAAGGAGCTGCTGTTGCAGCAGAATCCAGCTCTTTTATTAGAAGCTAAATATGAGATACTCCTGTCACTTGACATACGTAAGATTTATGTCCCTTGAGGGAACTGTTCTGAGTTTTGCTCTTCTACTTCACTGGTTTCTCACCATCTTTACCCCATGGAAATATCACAGTGATTAGCCAACAGTCACAAATTGTAATTAAATTGAGATTTCAAGGTGATTCCTGATTTGTTTTCTTGATCTCCATCCTAGTTGCACAGGCTTAGCAAAAGCAGATACTTTCATGTTTTCAGTCAACTGATTTGACTGCAACAAACTGCATTCAAATTCAAAAGTCTGGGTCTTAGAGGGACGTAATGTCAGTGGGGGGGAAAAAAAAAAAAGAAAAAAATCTTGGGAATAGGTCTCCAGACCAGAGTCTGTCTATGCATGCTTTGAAATGATGAAGAATTCCAGTTCTTCCTGCCGACCCAGTGGGAATGAAGCTGCTTACTGGCAAGTGGCCCGTGTCCTGGTGGGGACAGACAGACAGACGGACAGCTCCTGCTGCCTGGTCAGCAAAGCAAGGGCTGCACCCCTCACCACTGACCAAAGTCCTGCTTGGTCACTCCCTGGGGCTGCTGCCTGCTGGTGGTGTCACCACCCACACTGGGACAGGGGGAACCCTCAGCTGCTGTCATTTCTTGCAAATATCTGCAAGGTTCAGCTTCAGTGCCTCTTTCACTGGAGTAACCTGCGGAATTGAGTTACGCTGGCGACAGCAAAACCTCAGCCATATATTCCAGTTCAGGCTCAATTTTACTTTTGTGTGCACTACTTTTAAAAAGGAGCATAAACAAGCTATTAATAATACTAATGACAGTGTCTGTTCCAGTACAAGATGATTTGGATATGTTTATGGTAGCCCATGATTTAATTCACACACATCTGAGCTGGGGAGATTTACAACAGGAACAGTAGATCATCTCCATGTACATCTTTATTTGGACAGTCCCTATATTATTGTTATATGGATAAAATTAATCTTTTAAAGAGCTATATAAAGCCTGGCCTAAGCTTGTCCCTTAAGCACTCAACACATGATATTTTAATGACTGAAAGTGGGGAAAAAAATAAACAATTTGCGTAATTCAGTACTGTAGCAAATGACTGCACTGACAAGGTCACCACGCTAAACTGACATCATCCACACCACATCCAACTTCAAGAAATCCTCCAATATTTGCATGTAAAGTGTCAGACTCCTAAGGGTATTTTTTTTTTCTTTTCTGCTTGTTTAATAAGAAATTTAATATTTTAAATTAGGACTTTTAATTTGCAGGACAAAACTTCAGTGCTCTGTTGAGCTTTTTTCGGCTATCTGTAAAAAACACCATTTTTTCCTCTACTACATATAAATTTTATTTCCAAAGGTAACTGTCATTGACTCAGATAACCAGCAGTTTCTTTTGTGATTAGAAGCTAATAATGTTGTTATTTACAGTATAAGTGATCAATAGTATTTATTCTGGATCAGTGTCAAAGCTCTAAAATTGATATTAAATATAAGAGAGATGATACTGTAACCAAAGCAAACACTAAAAAGATCTTCAGAAAGTATATACTGTACTGGGAGATTATTAAAATTCCCGATACTGGCTAAAATGTTTAATGTGCTGAATACAAATGGTATTTTAAAGAAAGATCTGTGGATCAAAGATGGATTTAATAATCATAATGTTTAGGAATTTGTTTTGAAAATATTTTTAATTGGATAATGTCAGACTTCTGAATTACAATGCTATTTTCATTAGCATTTCAATAAGTTGTACTATCAACTCCTTTTGACATAAAAGAATTTGATTCATTTTTAAAATCATGAATCTCATAAACTTTTTTTTTTTTGTTGCCACTAGTTTTCAATAATTGTATTATCTTCTACAAGAAGAGCAACAGGAACCACATGGGCTTTGCTGGTAATGATGGTCTATAAATCTCTTCTCTGAAAGCAGCTCTGCTGCCTTTGAAAGTAATTTGCAGTTTCTTATCAACACAGAATTAAAAAGTAATATTGTCTAATTTGTTATGTTCAGTGGCACAGAGTATTGTAGAATTCCATCACATACAAATAGCTTTGAAACCTATATTATGTGACCATAATGAAGAGTACATAACTGAATTTCAAAATTTATGAAAATGTTTATTATTAGCCAAGAAAAATCTCAAAAGCTGAACTTGTCAATAGGTTTAATAGTCTCTTAGCAAGATGTGTATTTTGCACACTCAAACCTCAGTGCAGTTTATAAAACAGTAATTTGTAATTTATAGTTGTATTGCAAATAACCAATCTGGACATTTCAGAGCAGGTCAGGGCATAATTGTGTAAGTCTCAGAGTAAATCCATACATTCAACATGATGAACTCCTTGGTTGCAGAAGTTGTCTTCTACTTCCAATAGGAATAAAAACTGATTACTGTTGATCACTTAGATGTAACTGCTTGTAACAGTCAACAAGCCATCACAGTAAGGTATAAAGACAGCCCTTAGGAGAAATGCTGCCTATCTGATGACATTTAAAGCTTTAAAGAATTCCTTCTAGATACTGCAGGAAATCATCATGAGCCAGCACAGGCTGCCAATGTCACTGAGGGAGAACCAAGCGATTAAATCATGTATACTGGTAACACTGCCATCCAAACCATTAAATTACTTTATGGAGCTGGTCTTGCAGACAGTTCATCCTGTCAGCAATGCCAAGGTCTGTGGTAGAAACTACCAGGGTGAGAAAAGCCTATCACATGGGTACACATGCATGATGCTGCCTTGCAATTGGATCAACCATCCTTTTGTGTTGATTTTAGCAGTTCTAAGAAATAAAACACAGTTTAAATGATATCCTACTACCTCTTGTCCCTCTGCAATGTTCTGATAAGAGAAGTAAGGCATGAAGTTCCTGTAGCTTTTTGATCTGACATTATCAGGTATGTATAAACAGATGAAGATGTTTTAGCAGAGCAATTAAACTGTATGTCATTTTTTATTAAACAAAGAGTATAATAACTGACTATATTATCACAACGGAAGCATAGAAGACCATATACTGTACAGCTGAAACCCTGTAGCAAAATTTGTTCCTCATATTTAAAGAAATGTATCTTTATCAAGCTTTCACAATGGCTGCATCTTGCTAATGTAAAGAATCTTCACTCTTGTTAAGGCTAGATGATTATAATTAAATGATAAATGTACTGTTAGAAGGTTCTACGCCACACTCTACTTTGATGAGAATTTAACTGAAAGACATACATTATACCTGTATGTGAATTATAATGGCTTCTCAGCAGGGAACGCAGAATCACTTACAGTACGTAAACATTTAAAGAGGAAAATGCTAACACACTGAAAGAGTTTAACATCAGTAGCGATTTATCAAATGAAGAAGTTTCATAAAGTCCACTCTCTGGGAGAACATTCACCATTAGACAAAAGCCTGGCATCCTTGATAGTCTGAAGTTCAATCAATTTGAAAACCAAAATCATTCAATGAGATAAACAAGATTTTAAGAAAACCATTATCTTCTTTCTCAGGTAAAAGCCAGAATTAAAATAATAATTATTAAAATAATCCAACCAGGTCGCTTTACAGGCAAATTTACACACTGTCTCTTTAAAACACTGCATGCCCAAAAGCCTTTTGGGTTTGGAATGTAGCACTGCACCAAGTATTTCACAAAGCCTCTAAATATCACAAGAAGCTTTTTTTAGAGAAAAAAAACATAAAATAAAATAAAATTCCAGCTGACTGAGACTGTTCTAGCAGGAGTGCCTCATCTTAGCTCCCAGACCTGGAATTCCAGATAAACAACAGAGGACAGCAAACAGATTTTTTTTTTTTTACTTTTTTTTTTTTTCTTTCTTTTAACACGTCCTTTTGTAATGCCTATAAGACGACTGATGAGCTTAGGGACAAAGAGAGCGAGAGTGCAAGTGCCATCAGGGTGAGCTGTGTGCTTAGATAGAAGCTGGTAGGAAGAGCCAGGGAATTCTCCGCGGATATGTGACTGGTGGAGACTCCCGCTGTGTTGTCCTTCCCGAGAGCGTTCTGCAAGACACAACACCTTCCTTGGTCACCATCACAACATTTCCTCTGCAGAGCATTTAAGTCTACATCACGAAATTAATCTTTTGTTTGTCCATGTCCCACCCTCCACTGATACCTATACATCAATCTCATAAACTGAATTATGAAAAAGGCATTAAAAAAGATGTCACAATGACAAGATTTTGAAATTAGTTAATACCAGTACTGCACACTTTAAAAAAGAGAAGAGTATTAAATTTTTTTTAGAAATGCTTCCATATGTAAAAGCCTGGCATTGTTTTTATGGCTCTGTGTTTATCGTGCCAGTTTGTTTTGTAACAGCAAAAGCAGGACCCCCAGAGAAACTGCACCTTCTGGACAGTCAACAGAACAAGTTTGTTTGACAAGTTACTTCTGGATAACAATAAATTAGATTTAATCCTTGGGTGCAGATCATTAAATAAGTATCCTTGCTAGGTGCAATGGTGTTTACCATGGGATCTGCCTAAATATGTACCATACAGGTACTGAAGTATAAAATCAGTAGAGGACACTTGGAGCCCAGCTCTGAACTTCTAAGTGAGATCATTCTTTAATGCATTATGATATCCAAACATAACAAAACTGACAAGAAAAGTGTGAGGTAGCCCATGATAATCTTGACAGACTTGAAACGTCATTTCTTATGGGGAGGCACCTGTGCTGTGAAATATCCAAGATCCACACTTACCTCATTAAGACAGAGCTCTGTATCTACAGATTCGTTGGATTTTCGCTTCTTCTGTGCCTATGAACAAATACAAATTTTATTCCCTGTACAATTTACATTTCCAGCAGCACAAAGCACTTAGATAAATTTGCATCGCTTGTCATAATCCTATAATTGTGACAGAGATTTGCACATGATTAACAAATAAACTCCAAATGTAACGCATGTTTTCCAATAACATGCACATTTTCATTTGAATTTACAGCAAAATTTCAAACTGTCAACTAAGGGTACTTAGTAATTACAGTGATGAGTGCCATCAGCTGCAGAGAACATGTTATCTTCCATGGCCCCTTAAAAATGGTGCTGGATGCTCATGAGAAGAAATTAAATATGACAGTTAATAATTACCATAATACCACTGCATATCAACGAATAATCTGTTACATACCTCAGTTTTAGGAAAATATACAACACAGGAGTATTTCATCCTTAATGATTCTTGCAACTTTCTCAACTATTATGATAATAATATAGATATTATTTTAATGTATTTCATGGCTGCCAGAGAATCTCTTCTACAATGCTGCAAAAAAAACACTGACTCAAGCAAGAAGCACTTCAGGTGACATCATCCAAAATGGAAACAGCAGCCTGCACTCTGTCCAGCAGCAAGAGGTGTTTAATATTGCCATTCCTCAAGTGAACTGGGTGTTTTCTGCTTTTCTCCAAGAGCAGCACTAACCCCCATGGTGTGGAAGGTGCTCTCAATAAACAATGCTGTGGCTGACTTGAGCACTTCAGTGATTCTCACTATCAGTTCTTTGTTTGCATATTCCAGAAACAAACCAAGAACCCTTTTATAGGAGGTAACTGTGCTAAAGTAAATCATTAAGAGAAGACTTGGGTTTACAAAACTACTGACTGCACTGGGCATGTCTGGCGCTTCCACCTGGAAGTTTTGTTGGACCTGCAACTTATTTCCTGCAAAAAATGAAGATCTGAATCTCACAGTGCTGCATTCATTTTACTGCAGAATCTCACTGGTTTAGGCAGTGATGGACTAAAGCTGATGTGAGAAAGTGCTGAGCAGTCTGATTTTATGCCTTCAAAAATTCAGCTCCACATACAGCTATTTTATTTCATATCTGAGAGCCACTGGTTCTGCCAACAGATACAGAATAGTCTTTGACCTAATTACTGATTTTAGAATTCAAATGAAGGAACTGAACTTCTTATTAGGAAACATATTCTCTGCTTTTAATGATAGAAGAACATATTACAGACAACTGAAAAATGAAACAGCTGGGATTTAAGAGAAAGACAGCTTAGCTATAGTATGAATGCATACTGAATATATGTTGTAGTTTTCATATATATGACAAAATAATAGCTCCATTTATTAATAAACACCCTCCATAAAATCTCCTTCCTACAACCCTTTCTACTAATTATTACCATTGAAGTGGTAAGCACAAATTTAACTGTCTAATTGAAAAAAGAAATGCCTAGAAGTAAATTCAGAACAGAAAGAAGCACCACAGTGCCTTCTGGTTATGTTCATAGTGGATAGGAAACTTCTTTTAAAGGCAGCTGGGTAGCTTTCAACTCCTAAATGGCTTGTTCCAAGGAGACAAATAAAGAAGGAGAAACTAGATTTAAATCCTGATTTTCTTATGTCCACAACATCCATACACTACCTTGAATTGGAATGTGAGGCTTCAGATAAAGCCTGTTGATCAGAGGTTCAGATCCTGGCAGTGTAGGCTGTAAGGATCATACAAGCCTCTTATTTCTTAGTTTGTCACTTATTGCTAACTTTCTTATTCCCACAGGTGTTTATTTGAAACACTGTGCTTTGCTGCTTACACCTGCTGAGGATTGATAGCACTGTGCTAACTACAGGTCTACTGGTAGTTGGTCTCAATACCAAAGTCAGAATTTATATGCCTTTTGTACTATGTTTATCAAATGAGTAAAGAGAAAAACACCATTATTTTGCCTATATGCAATAAATTCTTCCTTTACTTCAGCCTGAAAACAAGAGTGCAGCAGCTAAAACATATTTACCTTTGAGAACACTATTTTAAGGGTAAAATCGACAGCTAGAAAAAAAATTAACATAAAAAACCCCTTTTCAATCATTTTGATAAACATTCTCTGGTTTTCATTTGGAATGTGATACTTCTCTGCATCCATATACTTATTGTAGACATTGTAACATCAACACTTATTCACGTGCATCCTCTGTTATAACGTCCTCCTCTCTCTGAAAAGCAATTTAAATAATCAGGCAGGCTTTTCCCTTATCAAAACAGAAAGGACAGTATCTTCTATTTTAAAATACAACAAAAATGCAACCTTTTATTGGGAGGAAGGCAAAGGGAAAGAAAAAACTGTCATTTTGAGGGTGAGATGAGACATTATATGCCAAGTTTCAAATTGGAAGAGTACATTTTTAGTGTTGAGTTATAAACCTGTGAGAATGGGCTGTAATGAAAATACTGGCATAGGCTGTACTGCTAGAATACAACAGTGCATCACTAAATCACAAATAATGGCATAAAAACCCAAAACCTACAGGTTGAAGAGAGTGTTTTAGTGAATGTTCTTCACTTACAACCAAAGGGGAAAATTCTTCCTGCCCTGTCTTGGGCAGAAACAGCTCTACACCTAGCAGAACTCTTTCTTTGTGCTACAGTGAGTGAACATCTTATCAGAGACTTAAAAAAAAAAAAAAAAAAAAAAAAGTTTGGAGGTTATGCTGATAACTCTGGAAGAACTAGACCCAGCCTGGGAGACATTAATTTGAATTAAAGAGGCTACCCTCTTCTTTCAGATATTTACTTTCTAATATCTTCCATTACCCTAAAAATTTAAACAAGAGAAAGGAGTGTCCATCATGTACAGCTGCAGACAATCCTGGAAAAGCTGCACCACCAGTTAATTTGGGAATTGAGAGTTGTTCATTATGCATGATGCCTAAGATTCACTGCCAATCCCATCTCAGGTATCTGGCTTGCCTACCAAGCAGGCAAGGAAGTGTTTTCAAATGTTCTAGAAATCCCTAACTCCACAGGAGTAAAAGAGCACACACAAACGGCTAAATTGTCTGTATTCTTTTAATATTTTAATATGAAGCTGTTTATCTGGTGACAAAAAGATCTATGGGGATTCCATCATTAATTAAAAAAAAAACCAAGCAGGGCTGAGCTGATAAAAATAATAATTTTAAAAAACAGTGAAGGAAAATCAGCTTAAAGTGTCTAACAAAGACATACGAGTTCTTTTCTGCTGAGGAAAAATAGCATTTTCTAGTGACTTTCTTAATGACACACTAAGCTGTGGCTTATCTCAGTCTGTAAAACAAAGTTACATAAGATGGGCTGACACTTACTCCAGCTTTGCAGGGAACTGCAATTCACTAACATGAGCTGCTCTGACAAAGTTGTGTCCATACAGCCAATAGGCCTGACCTCACTCAAGCTTTTATGTTTCCAAAAAGTGAATACTTCCTTTCCCAGAGAATCTTCTCACTGTAGTAGCACAAGCAGTAGATGATATCTAGAGATAATTGTATTTAAGCACCTCCTGATGAGCTTCAGTATCATGTCTGTTAGTCACATACAAGCCTTGGTTTGGTCTCAAAACCCTTAGCTTTCAATACTATATCCAAAATACTGGACTTGGTCAGGGGCTGGTAGAGCAACCAACAAGCATGTCCAGAAAAAAAAATCTCATTATGAGAAGCAAGATTTTACTTCTTTCTTTCCTAGAAAGAGAGTTCAATCAGCTAATGGTTTTCTGAAAAGAGAAAGGACTATTGCTTATGGAAATGTTTCTCCTTCAGAACACTCTGTGGATCTCCATGTTTCCTTCTGATCCCAATGCATCCTACATGAGTTCAACTCTATGCCCCTACTTAGTCTTCTCTTGCCCTGCACCTGATAATTATCATAAGATTCTCCTAAAATAAATCCCTGCTTTCCATCCCCCAAATCCCTCTGGATCCATCCTCTACAGACACTACAGCCTTGAATTTATGCCCGAAAATGCAATCCTGCAATTATGCATCCAGCTTTTGCAAAAAACAGCATCGCTTGTTTAATAAATGCATTAACCACTGCAGCAGTGTCTCACCAGGGTCAGTACACACACCTAGGGCTTGTCACCAAGCACTGTTTTTATATGTTCACTACAGCATCAGTTTCTGTTATTCAGAGCAAGGAAAAGTTCTGACTGGGGATGTCTCCAAATGGAGGTGAGCTTTAATGTGAGGGAGGGAAGGGAAGGAGAAGGATGTAAAGCGAGCTGAATGCATTGTCTCTGAATGCAAACAGGCACAGAGTGAGCACCCAGCCCCCTTCTTTAGCTACACACTTTGGGCTTTTTGAGTTTTATGGAACATATTGCTTGGACAGAGAGAGGCAACAGAAGCATCATTAGGACGGATATCTGCTAGGTAAGCTGTTTATACAGCTGATTTTAATGAGTGAGCCCTTGTCCTCTCCTGAGATCCTGGTTAGTTATGCCCATATTAACAAGCCTTTCTGAAGAAGACAGACCAATCTCCCAGAATGCATCCTTCAAATGACCACACTTCTAAAGTAGCTATAACAAATGAGGGTGTTTGTTCTTTTTGTTCTTCTCCTGTGTTGATTAGAGAGATTTACTATGCAACTAACCTGCTTTCCCCAACAGCAGGACACAAACAATAAGCACAGAAATATACAGACTGTAAAAATGCAATCAGTTTAACTCTTCTGTGCTCAATAAGTGGGCTTAATCTATCACAACTGACAATAGTATTTTCTTATTAGCACAGGAGTACTATGCCACACTGGAGTATAATTACTTTCAACAGGGAAGATAGAAAAGTGTGGGTCACAGACACAGGCCACTGAAATAAGGTTCCAGTTCAGCACGGGGTAATTCTGAAACCCACACCATCCAGCCAGAGTGCACAGCTATTTAAGCTATAAAAACAGTCAGCTCTGCACTGTCCTATAACAAAGCAGCCAGATCTTTTTCCTGCTCTGTTTTGGTTTTTTTTTTCCCCCTCTCTGCTGAATCAACCC